GCTTTCTGGCTGAATTTTCTGCAGCGCCGGAGTGTCTCGGTAACCGCAGCCCGTGAGAGAGGTTTACGTGTTTTTAATGACTTGGAATCAATGCGGCGCCGCACCCACTGCACCGCAACGGTAAGACCGGAGTCGTGTGAACCGGGGGTCAATATCCCATATGTGCAGTAGGGTACGCCGTGACGTCACAAGCAGCAAGAATGCTCTGTGTTTACGGAAATAAACATGGATGCTAGCGCTGGGGTACATCTCGCGATCTCAGCCAGAATATTAACAACACATGGTTGTTGTTTTTCTTCTTGCTGATACGTAGCAAGCTGCAGTATAGCGACACTTGTCGATTATTAATGCCGTTCCGTTCGGATGAATGCGACCTGGCCGTTTAGAAAAGATCGGATTCATATCGGATTCGGCACCACACAGCCAAGTGTTCTGGGTTAGTTTGGAAAAAATCAGATCTGTGTTGTTCAGACAGCCATGAAAAGATCAGATGCAGGTCGCATTTGGGCAAAAAAATTGGATTTGGATCACTTTAGGCTGCTGTGTGAACGTAGCCAGAGAGAGAGCAGGACTTTGAACAGATAACAGGAAGGCCGATTGGGATACAGCAACATGGGTCAGATAAAAGCTGCTAAAGATGTTTAAAATCTTCAACCCTGTGAAACTAGATTAGAATCTCTGCCGGGAAACTTCATCACCTTCAGAAACTAGCCTCAGATATTCCCGGCTGGTGCATCTCTAGAAAGGGTAGAGGAAGGTTAAAAACACAAGAATGAAGTAATGGAAACTCCGCGATATGAATGTAATTTTGATATAAATGATAATATTTTAATATGACAGAAACTCTTCCCAAAGATGAGGAGCTGGTTTCTGCTTCGTCCACAGAAACCAGTTCAGGTATTTTAGTTTATTAGCGACGTTGATATGAAAGATGTGACGTTAAAGTAAAAAGATGTTGGATACTTTGTGTGCAATCAGGGTGACCGTCCGCCATGTTTAATGAGCCCTTGATGGCAGCCAGAAGCGGTAATGGTTCATATGCAGCGTCAGAGGCTTCAGGATTCCCACCGCCGGCTGGAAACTCTTCCTCCTGCTTCGGTTTTACCGTCGGAGAAGAGAAACAGACGGGTTACAGGACATGAAGGACAAAAGGACGTCTTTGTTGGCCTGCGTGGACCTCAGCGCTGCTTCTTAGGAAATGTCTTTAAACACTAAAGCAAAGAGAAGTTTGGGGCTCTGCTTTTTTCAGCGTTCTCATGTGGGTCATTCCGCTATGTTACTGACTCCTTTTAGCTGGTAGCCATGAATGTGGGAGAAGAACGGCGGCGCAGACACAATGGACTGAGTCACTCTGCTCAGCAGGGAGGATGCTATAAAAGGTACCGCCTCCACACTCACAGCTGTCTGTCAGAGCACAGCCTCCAGCATGGATCCCTCACAGGTACCATGTCCCTCCCAGACCTGCTTCCACTGAAGGCGACTGTAACGCTGCGCTCCGTTACCAGCAGGGGGGGAGAAATAAGCTTTAAGGATGGACGCTCTCCTTTTATCAAGGCGGGTTAAACCAGGCAGCAGTTCTCAGGTGTCCACACCTGGAAGATTCCTCCAGTCTGGAAAGGTCTGGAATCTGATCAGGAAGAAGGTGGAAAAATAGATGGAGCAAAAAAACTGAAGCTAACCCTTCCTTCCTTCCTTCCTTCCTTCCTTCCTTCCTTCCTTCCT